CTCTCTCTCTCTCTTTCTCCTTCTCTCTTCTCTCTGTCTGCCTCTCTTGCACTATTTTCCTATTTTGTCCTGTGTCATAGGATAGAGCTTAGCAGGGTTAGCCAGGACAAATGAATATCCATGAAAATGGAGGTCATAGAATCTTCATATCAGAAATATGACCCATCAGGTTTTGATCTGCTGTATTTTACTGTTTTCTGTAGCAGATTAAACCTATTTTGATTTTTCTATAACCTAGACACTTATAAATTAACTTTTCTAAAATAAGTGTTGCACGCTACTTAAGATTATGCATGCATGACTCATGTAATCTTCTCAAAATACTTTATGTAATATCATTAGCTAGGAGTTAACATAAATAAGCCCTGATATAGAATAGTTTAACAAATTAAGTTTAAAAGTACAGGTACGTATCAATGGAGTAAGAAGCCGGGCATTTTATAAATAACATAAATGCTTTTTCTATTGGACAAGAAAACTAGTATATACAAACTGTATTGTTGATTTTTTCAGTATAAAGAATATTTACCATGAAAACAAAAGCTAACATAAGCTACTGTACTAGATGAAATGAACATTTACATGCGATTATCGACAGTTCTAAAATTTCAATCCTTCTCTTGTCTCAGAGGAAATTCTCATAAATAGAAGTTAGACATTCAAACAAGATATTTGCCTGTAGAAGAAGTGAGAATGCTTTTGAAAACTATGTTTCACTGTTACCTGAAAAGATGAACAAAATACTGCTCAATCGTGCATTTGAGGAAACCCAGAAACAGCCTGTAGTTCTGTAGGCACTGAAAAGTTTCCCTAGAGGGAATTCACTGCAGTTGACAAATGCATGAATAATTACTGCAAAAATACATTCCCATATGTCACAGTTATCTTACGTTGAGTGAGAGGAAATCCATTTTTTAGTGGACTGGGTTTTCGGCTGCACCAAAGATATTTATTCAAAACTTGAGTCTTTCCATTATGTTGTTTTCTCTGGTGGAAATAGAACATACCTTTTTCCAACAGAGAAGAAAGAAGAAAGTGTGCCAAGCTTTGGTCATGAATATTTTAGTGTGTATAGAGACAGAGATCACAGGGGGGCCAGATGAGTAGCAGGAAACAAATGTGATGTTGTTTTCAAATTCTCAGAGGAGGTTTATATTAAACTGTCTTTACTAGCTTGTTTTCTGCCTGGCTCCTACACTGTCAAACCTGATAATGAAACCTTTTGTATATCTGGAGCTCACCTATTAAGTGAGGAGTGTAGCATCTACTTGAAAGTATAAAATTATCCACTTTATGTGGTACACACAAAGAAAAAGCTATTGCAAATGCCACAGCGGTAAAGACCTATCTTCAAGAAGAATAATCCATATTAATTCCTGTAGGGGAGATTTTATCCTTAAAAAAATGTTAAAATAAACTGAGTCTTAAAGTTTCTCCATACAATTGATTCTTTTCCTCCTCTTTCCCTCATACCTCCAAGTTATTAGAAGACTTTCATCTTTCATAACATTACAACCCACTGGAGTTTATTTGGCCAGAAGTCAGTACCAATGAGGCTGAGGTGTTAAGCTTGTGCTCTTTAAGAAAAATTGAAGTCCTATTTTCCTGACATGATGGCACAGAACACATTAGCAAACCCACCACTTGCAAATCAGCTTCTCTAAGAACAAAGGGAAGTGGGTGAAAAAGTGAGTAATGTAGTGGACGTTAGCAGAGTTCCAAGTGGTTGGAACCCAAGTCACCCTGCCTCTGACCACCTCCGAGTATGTCTCTGTGAATGCTGTCATTTATCCTTGAATTCAATATGGAAAACAAGAAAGCTCGTAGAAACTACAACTGTTTGTGCTAACACAGGTGATAGTAAATTTTTGTTCTGTTTCTTGCATAGTTGAATTTCAAAGTGTGATAATTTACCAATGAGCCCAAAATATATCCTTATCTCAGAGTCAGGAGCCATTTGTAATGAGTTTTTGCAATTTTTGATCATGTGCCCAAAATGATCATCTCTGTGCCATATACAGGTCTACACATCCAACATTGAGGGGCTGAGAAACCTGGAATCTATGATAAGAAATGGTATATAATGGTTTCACTTATACAAAAACTCTCTATTTATATGATACACAACAACCATACAGATGTTTTTCTTTCTCTGTCAAAATGTGGACGAGCTAGGACTCTTTTTTTTTCTAAATTATTTTGAAGTGACTGGCCACTGATGTTTGGTTTTAAGAACTAAATTCAATGACTAAAAGGGTGTGTGGTTTGGTTGTACTTAATAAAATGGTGAGCTAGCAGTTTTTACTATTTCCTGTTGACCACTTACTTCACGTAGGCCATTTCCATTTTATCTCTAAGACCATTCTATCTTGTGGAAAATAGAATGTGTCTCCATTTTTCAGATGAGTCAGTATTCTTAGGAAATATTGCAGCTACTACAAAGTGAACCAATCTGTTGATAACAAAGCCAAACCCTCCATTTGAAAGTTATAAATACAAATATTACATCAATACTGCATATTAAGATGTACATTAACAACAGTTTCTGAATGGCTTGGCTCTTATCTGAACATAGTATGCAAAACATTCAAATTTTTAAAGTAAGTCATGGTAGCATAGATTTTTTAAAGCTATATAGATAAAGGTTTCTTGATGTACACTCAAAGAGAAAAATTTGAGAGGAGAGTTATTAGTAGTGATCTCATTGTGTGATACCTGATATTTCTTTGATTATCTGGTTATTTTCAGTGTAAATATGAAATTTTAATACCAATTCTTAGGTAAAACTCAAAATGTAATATAGTGGTATTAATAAAGTATAAGTAAAATATATTTGGTTTTATTTTCCTGGGTGAAAATATTACTCTTGCAAAATATATTAAATTCTTATTGTTATGCAGTAGATCGATATGATTAGATCAGGCCTATAGCTCTATTCCATGACAAAGTGACCCAGCTTCTGATGCTCTGAAATATACAAGGAGACTATCTTAAGACTCTGAATACAAATTTTGTCTATTTGTATTTTATTCAATTTTGCATTAGAGGTATACAAGCTTTTAGAACCATTTTCTTCCTTCCTCCCTTTCTTTTTGAGCTGAGGATAAAATTCAAGGCCTCACTATATCTCAAAGGCCTTTCTAAAATATTCTATGATCTGTGCAAGGCATTACTTTGTAGAAAGTCCTATTATGCTTAGAAATGATAGTTTAGCACATAGGATATATGTATAAGAAGAAAGTGAAGTAAAAAATTACATTCCATGAACTACAAATAAATCAAGGTTGAATTTGCATGGGAGAAGGAGACATAAGAATTAAGACACATGTATGAATTCCCCATGATGAATGACTTATTATATACATCAAATATATAGTAATATAAATTTAAATTTTAAAATACAAAAAAATTTAGAAGTGAACTTAATTGGAAAATCTTTGCAACAGATCTAAAATATAAGTTTACATTCCTAAAAGAGTCATAAACATTTTTCAGATGCAATAGAGCTCTTCTTTACATCAGAGAGTACAGGCATTTTTACAAAAAGAGTATATATATATATATATATATATATATATATATATATATATTACACACACATACATATATATATATATATGTATGTATGTATGTATATGCCTGTTAAGTATGTGCCTTGAATATCTACAGTATAGATGCTGTATATTGATATATAATGGAACAAAAGCAAGTATTTCTTAAATTATTTTTTTTTGTCTTTTTGCTTTTTTTTTTTCTTTTTTTTTATCGGTAGCAGGGATCGAACTCACGACTGCCTGCTTACAAGGCAGGCGCTTATGCCACTGAGCTAAATCCCCAGCCCCCAAAGCAAGTATTTCTTATTGCCCCAGTAAAAAATTGAATCAGTCTTCTGGGAATAGTTTAGATTGATCTATAGTAGGTAAGATGGAATATCATCCTGTAACTATGTTGGGGAAAACTTTGGATTGCCTGAGATTTGAACAGTGATAAGTACCAGGCAATAAACCTGGAATCTGTAATTTGACTATGTTACAGGCTAAGAAAGAATAATTGATTTTTGCTCCTAGATCTTTCAGGAAGAATGTGACATCATGTAGTCCCTTCCTATCCCATCTATAGTATTTATTACTGCTTATCTAAAGGGAAATACCGTGCTAAATATAAGCATAGTTAAGAATGTGTAGGATCTACCTTTGACACTGATTCAACCAATATATAAATGATTGATCCTCACTGTTTGTGGATTTCCTGTTTGTATATTTGCCTTTTCATGCTTTTTAAAAAAAAAATTTGTGCCATGTGTCAGTAACTCCATTGTTCATAGCACTGAGAGACTTTCTAGTGTCTTATGCATCAGAAGACTGTGATGCACCTTGTGGAAAAAAGACATAGTTTGAATAAGTTTTGCATAAATGTGAGTTGCAGCGCTGTTCCCTGCAAACTCCATGTTGATAAATAAACAATACATACTAAGTAAGGTATCTTTCAAGATATAAACAAAATAAGCTTCTCTATTGACTAGTTGATGAACATGTTGGAGACAGAAATTTGCAGAAATCTAGCTCTGAGTTTCTCCTAGGCACCATGCTTCAGTATTTGAAATGGCTTTGCAGTATATATTTATTACTAATCATGAGAAAATACATTAACAATGTACAATTATCAGTTATTGATCTAGGCCTTAAAGATTCGGGGATAAAGGACTTGCCATGTATTAGAAGGAAGAATTCACAATGGAATGATTACATAGAGTAAAGAAAGTGCTGTTGAGTAGACATAGGCAGGTGCTAAGTGTTTGTATAAGGGGTTTAATACCACCCAGGGGTGCCCAGGAAATACACATAGATACGTAACTGCATGCCTGAAGAAAATGTAGAAACAATACCGAAATGGTATACTGGCCAAAGGATAATACAAAGTAAATGGTGTTATATATTTATTTTTAAACAAAGCATAATGTTGGTGGGGTTCTGAGTCATCCTGGTACCATGTTGTTACAGAAATACACTGTGGTGAATTCTGCCTCTTGCCAAAATGAACACTGAGGAAAAATGAAAAAAACTGAAGAAATCCAATGAAAAAATACAGAACAAGAATAACCACCCCCTTCTGGAGTATTTAATTTGTCAACAGCTACTGTTAAAAAAGGTAGGAAAATAAATTATATTTGCTTTTACCCTTTTAATTGTATTTTAAATTATACATTACTGAAAAAGCAGAAAAGTGCAGAGATTTACTTAACAAGCATTCAGTTGTTGACCTCTGCATGCCTGTGAACTCTTTTAGACCTTAGGAATACAATGGTGAACAAAAAGAAAATGCATATCCTCGGAGGAATTGTCCTTCTAATGAAAGGGGTAACACCATTAGTAGAAGGAAAAGAACCTGCTGTCACTATGGTGCTTACCTGGTAAACCAGGTTAACGACGTGAAGAGTGATTTGGGGCTACTCTAACTGGGGTGTCAGAACAGATCACCCAGAATATCTGATCTGAGAATTAAATGATTGAAGAATCACCTTGGAAGACACTACTTTCCAGAAGCCATAATCTAGGACATGTGGTAAAGAGTTGGAAAGTAAATCCATACTACTTAAAGAGAAGGGATTTGGAGAAGCATGATGTAGGAGAGGAAGAGGAAAAGCCTTGTGAAGATGGAAATATGTCTTAACTATATTCCAAGAAAGGTAGATGTCACTGAGAGACCAGTAGGAGAGGAAGGGAAGAATTCATACACGTTAAGCACCTCTAATTTAAAAACTTCATGTCTGAAATGTTCCAAAATCTCAGATTCCTTGAGAACCAATCTACTGCTCAAAAAGTTTCAGATTCAAGAGTGTTTTGAGTTTTAGATGTTCACATTAGTGATGCTTGAAAACGGTAAAGTCCATGATAATATTCCAAATTTTCAAAGAAAACTAAAATCAGAAACACTTCTAGTCCCAGCCGTGTTGGGTATTCAAGCTGCATTATATTAATAATAAAATAAATTCTGCTTTACTTTTGCTAACTAGTAGGAGCTTTAGGGGTTTCAGTAATGGAAAATGACACACCATACTCTCATCCAAATAAGAAATGCTGGTAAGCTAGCTTACTGCTTTGGAAATGGGACTTATTCAGATCCTCCTTAGACAATGGATGAAAATCATGTTCTTTATGAATCTCCAAACATAATTTCCATAGGTCAGATCTGCATCTATTTGCATTTTAATTTACAACCACAAACAGTAATTTATTCCACTGCTTGAGAAAATTATTTATGGTATATGTGTTTGTAGCCTGCTTCTGAAACATAGAGTGTGTTGAAGTCAAATTGTGCAAAAAACAAAAGTAGAATTCTTCCATTCATACTCCAGTGGAGTAATCTTGTAACACTTAGGGATGTGAGTCTTGCATGTACCTGTGACTCCTCTGCATTCTGCATGGGCCCTGACATTTATGAATAATGTTCCCCAAGTCCCTGAGAGGCCACATGTGTGTCCTTCTGAATAAGAAGCATAGGAACTTTTTAAGCACTAGTGGCTTAAGTAGCCAAACACAAATTCAAAAGTAAAATATTCCTACTAAGTTATTTCTGGATAGAATATTGAAGGAAAACCTAAAATACAATTTAGAATTGGTATTTTAGAAAGAGAATGTATGAATTTAAACAAAATTTATCAAAAAAAACTATCATATTCAGCGATGAACAGTTCATGTCTTGGAATTCACAACCATTGTTCAAAGCCTACAGGGGAGGTCAGCAGATGATGAATAAATACACTAACCTTGGCAGGTACCTCTGAGTTTGCAAGAAGCTATCAGCCATTGCTGGGGCACAGACCACCTTGAGTCTTGTTGTAAAGAGTTATCCAAGATAACTTGGCTGAATATATGTTAAGATCTCAATAAAATACGTGGTATTGCTTTTCCACTCTCGTAACAGTCTGAAAAGATCCTAAACTTAAATGTTGTGGAAAATATTCCTTGCTCTATCCCAGGTTCCTCTGGAAAATCTTTGACTATCAGAAGACAGCCTTAGTATAGCACTTATATAGTGTCACACATTGTCACCCATTTGTACAAGACACACATATGTTAAGCTATGAAGGGTGTGAAAGATGTGGTACAGTGGGAGAAACTAAGCACCTGGAAACATCAGAGAAATCCTTTAGGCAAGAATCCCAGAGTCCTACCCCATCACAAGGGATGTACATGTAATACCTTGGTCTCAGCAAAGTCAAGGCTCAAGCTTCCTTAAGGTTATTCATACCCTTGATTCAGGTAGCTAAAAGCAAGCTTTATGGCCATCAATCAGTATGGTTTTAATAAACAGAGTAGACAAGCTCTGGGGGAGTTTTGGATTTTTAACAGTTCCTTATAATTACTACCTAGTACCTTTCACTTTTGACATGGTCTAGAATCAATGACAAGGTTCCAGGTATCCAGCAAAATAAGTACAGAGATACCCAATTAACTACAAGTTAACTCTGTCTTCATACACTCAGAGAAATGGATCAGAATGAGAACATCAGAGAAGATCCAAAGCTCATATACATTATTCTGAGTTGGATTCTGTAATCTATGGGATTAGATTATTTGATTAACTGGAGACCACTGAAAGGATATCAAAGTTTCTAAGGGAAATAATCAGATTGTGAAGCAATAAGCATAAAATAAACCAGGAAGAGGATCCTGTCTTAGTTTGATTACTCCAGAAGCAGCTGTTGAGAAAACAAATTGGATATTAGTATTTATTTTAGAGGTGATGTTATTTGCCTCTGTAGGGAACTGAGTATATGAGACAGGGAAAAGAAGAAAAATAAAAGAGAACTCTTGTCACTACTATGACCAAAATTTACACAATCCCATTAGGCAATTCTGGGATACAATATAGATTGTATGTTGGATTTACCCTGACCAAGGGCAAGGGAATTGGAGTACTTGGCCAAATACTCCCATCTTCCTTGGCTGAGGGTTGCTCCCCTGGGAAAGCAGATGAGTGTTAACTCCCTGGATTTATGGTCTACCATACATGGAAACAAAGAGAACATCCGTAGCAAGAAGAAGCCCTCAAGCAGAGGGCCAGGTTCTTGCCACTGGAGAGCACCCTTAGGTAAGCATGCTCAAAAATGATGAATGCCAACCAAATGTAAATAGGCCACCAGCAGTTTCTGTAATAAGAACTGTCAGCAATTCTGATGATGGTGTTACAGTCATGATCACATTAATAGAGCTATTGTTTATCTAATGAACTATAAGTCAGGTTCTATACTAAATGCTTTAGATGTCTTTTAATCATTTAATTCTTGTATATTGAATACTCACCTTGTGCTAGATGGGCAGAGAGAAGGAAAACTATTTCTGTCTCATCACTGCAGTCCTATAGTATTTACATAATTCTTGTCTTCTGTTTGTAGATGAAGAAATAAGTCTGAGCAAGGTGAACCAAATTCTCTAAGGTAGCACATGTAGGAAATCAAGTTGAAACTCAAATCCTGGTTTGTCTGCTTTCAAAACTATCTCCCAGGAAACTGGCAATAATTTTGCAACTGATAATTATCAATTAACTCATTAGTCACTGCTATTTTTTCAGACACATATTTTTTAAAAGTATTGTTTAAATTTTGAAATGCAAGAAAAAAACTGTCCATGATCTCAAGCTGCTACACATTTTTGGAAGAGAAAGATAAGGAGAAGTTGAATTTAAAGTATGTAATGGAAGTATGTTGCAGCTATTGGATGGGACAAGGAAAGAGTTATCACATGTTGGTGCATAACAACTTGCTCCATCACTCAGTAACATAAAACAATAATCATATATTGTTGCTATTGAGTTCACAAGTGAGTTAGGAAATTCTGATACTCTGGGCCATTATTGACTGACCTTAGTAGGTTTTGCTCAGTCCTTTGCAGTTACATATGGGCTACATAATATAACATGGCTTCACTCATGTATCTGGTGATTGACAGAATTGGCTGGGGCTACTCAGTTTCCCAGAGAGTTAGACATGATTCTTTCTGTGGCAAAGGAGTGATGTGAATCATTTGTTCAAAAGTATGAGTGAAATGTACAAGGCTTCTTGAGGCCCAGGCTCAGAGCAACCACTACTCTGACCAGGGATACTCAATTTTCCAGCACGCTATCCAGCACTCATTCAGCAACAGGGTAAAGGTTAAAGGAAACCACAAATCCTGACAAATTTAAGAGATAATGGCATAGACCTCATCTCTTGATGAAAGGAGTTTCTAAGTCACACCACCAAAGGAAATTGGCATATGAAAATTTTTTGACCAGATTTTTATCTCCAGGGCAAAATATGTGACAACCACAACTTAAAACAAGAGAGGTTTACTTTTGCGCATAGTTACAGAGGTTTCAGTCCGTGGTCAGCCGTCTCCAAAACAGAAACAGCATGGCAGAAGTGGGTGGTGGAAGATGATTTTCAACTCATAGCAGCCAGAAGGGAGAGAGTAGGGGAAAAGGGCCAGAAAGAGAGGACAGAACTAGGGACAAGAATATTTTCTCCTAGGACCCACCTCCTCACGTCAGGGGCCATCTCCAAACAAAATATTCAGCTCTGAATCCATCACTGGATTGACGATGATGCTAATGATCAGAATCGTATTTTAAAAAGCTATTGTTTATTTGATGAATTGTGAGCCAGGTATTACAAGCCAGCTACTGATGAGTATATCTCCCTTAGGATCCAATCACCTTCCAAAAGTCCCACCTTTGAACACCTGAGACTTTGGAGGAATGTTTTACATCAAAACCACAACAGCAGAAGAACAGAGTTGAAAACAGTCTACCAAGAGGCAAATATTCAAATAAAAGCTTGCAGAGTGAGCAGGCATCCCCTAGACAAAGGACAGTAAGGAAATTTAAGGTGAAAAAGAGAGCATACACTGTTGTAAGACACAAAATATAAAGTTTATAATGCTGTCAAACAACTTGAGAATGAAGGCAACTAGTCATGAGGAAGGAGAAAGCAAGCATCATGAGAGAGAGAAAGGTGATGAACAAGAAAAATGCAAAATATGTAGAACTCATGAAATGAAAATCAATTTTCAGGTGGAATAATAGGTTTACAAACAGTTGCCCAGCAATGGGGAAGAAGAGTAAAGATGTGGTATGCGGATGGGTGAAGGACAGATTGCCACAGCAAT